AAAACATAATTATTGTCAGAACAAAGCTTATCATAAGACAGGAAATGGGTTCTTGTTTTGAAAATTTATTTATTTGAGAGAGAGACTCTCATTTGCTGGTTAATCCCCAAATACTTGCAATAAGCCCCAGGCAAGGCTGAAACCCAGACCCTGAACTCAATCCAGGTCTCCACATGAGTGCCTGGAACCCAGTTACTTGATCTATCATTGTTGCCTTCCAGGGTCTGCCTTAGAAGGAAGCTGGAACTGGGGGAACAGATTTGGGAGTCAAACCCAGATGTGGGCATCCAGACTGGTGTCTTGAGCCTTAACCCCTAGTCCAAATGCTTGCCCTGCAATGGAAGGGAAGCCAGAAAAGAGTTGAGTGCTCGGAATGGTCTCTGGTCTACACAGATGAACGCAAAATAATCTGATGGCCTAAGGATTTTATTAAAAAGGCTAGTGGTTGGGGCCGGCACTGTGATGCAGCGGGTTAAAGCCCCAGCCAGCAGCGCCAGCATCCCATATGGGCACTGGTTCAAGTCCTAGCTGCTCCACTTCCAATCCAGCTCTCTGCTATGGCCTGGGAAAGCAGTAGGAGATGGCCCAAGTCCTTGGGCCCCTGCATCCACAAGCTCCTGGCTAATGGCTTCAGATCAGCTTAGCTCTGGCCATTGCAGCCATTTGGGAAGTGAACCAGCAGATGGAAGACCTCTCTCTGGCTCTAGGGCTCTCTGTAACTCTGTCTTTCAAATAAATAAAAAAATTTTTAAAAAAAGCTAGTGGTTGTGGTTTATGGAGTGACACTATGTTGAAAAAGATTCCAAAGATTATTTTTGATTCAGCAGGAAAAATGTTTTAAAACATGTTCAATTAGCAGTGTCTCTAGTTAGAACTGACTGGCAAGGGAAGGGTTGTATGGTAATATGACTACAATTTGAACAATGATTATGCCATCCTAGAATTAGCTATTTCTTCTGTTCTTAAAGAAACTCTACCCCACACAGACTACACATCTAATTTTTCTACTAGCACTGTGATGCAAATAAAAAATCATCTGTAATAGAAAAGAAGAGAAAGAATAAACATTAGGTCAAACATTAGGTATGGGTTGAGTTAGGAGGCTGTAGCCACCAATATTTTCCTAATGAAATAGAAGGGGAAAATATTAAGAGTATATCATACGTGAGGCTGAAGTTGTTTTATGACATTTCTGCTTTTTGTTAGTCATATTTAGGCATTCACAGGGTCATGATACAAAATACATTCCACTGGGTAAGTTATCTATAAGGTCTCTAAAATCCCTTTTCATGCTTGAAAAAAAGTCTGTCAAAAAATATATATTAGCAGCTTTTCACTACTTTTGATAAAAATGCAATCTAGGGGCTGGCAGTGTGGTACAATGGGTTAAACCACCACCTGCAGTGCTAGCATCCCATATGGGGGCTGGTTTGAGTCCTGGCTGCTTGAATTACAATCCAGTTTCCTGCTAATGTGCCTGGGAAAGCAACAGAGGATGGCCCAAGTGCTTGGGCTCCTGCACCCACACGGGAGACCCAGAAGAAGCTCCAGCCTCCTGGCTTTGGCTTGGCCCAGTTCTAGCCATTGTGGCCATTTTGGGAGTGAACCAGTGGATCAAAGACCTCTCTCTCTGTCTCTTCCTCTTTCTCTCTCTGTCTCTCCCTCTCCCTCCCTCTGTAACTCTGCCTTTTAAATAAACAAAATAAATCTTTTTTAAAAATGCAATCTTCAATATACTTAAAGGTAAAATTTAAATGATTTAATTATTTCAACAAATGAATAATACCAAATTAAAAGCCTAAGAAATACAAATAGCTAATAAGACAACGATGTCTATTTTTGAAATATGAGGCACCCAAGAACTAGGTTTCTGTAACAAGATACACCTGGGATATTCTATTTACATCATAGTCACCTGAGGATCAGTATTTCAATGCATGACACTGAGTTCTCAGAGCTGAATAAAAATGGGTTGTGACAAATAAAATGTAATCCAGAGCCAATGGCATATTTACATTTTCAGTCATCCTGCTTTTGAAGATATTCCTGGAATTTCCAATAAAGCCCATCAGTAATACACGATGTGTTATATGTGTTTGAGGGGTATGAGCGAATAATGAATATTTCAATGAATTCAACCAATTCCTTGCAGTAAACATTTCTTTTGTTATTAGTATAAAGTGACTTGTTTAGTATAGAGATTTTAGGAAACAATGTGAAAAAAGCAAATTAAAATAATTCATAAACTGGTATGAAATAATCAGTTTGTACTTTAGAATTAAGAAACAAACATTAAGCAACTGGCAAAGAGCTGCATCAGACAGATTCTAACCCATGCATCAGAATTTAAGTACAATATACAAATTTACTAGGAAAGGGTCCAATGCCTTCATTCGCATAGTTTGCATTCTGTGATTTTTCAACACCAATATTTTGAAGACTGCAAAGCAAGCTATACTGAATCTTTTTATGTATCTAATGCACTAAGGTCCCTTCCAACTGAAAGATACAGTCTTTTATATCACGGGCAACTAAAAGGTGTACGTTCTCCAGAGCTTTTCATTTCAAGGAAAGTTTACTTAGACTGCTGCCACTCAAAGTGGAACCTACAGGGGCTGGCCCCGTGGCTCACTTGGTTAATGCTCTGCCTGCAGTGCCGACATCCCATATGGGCGCAGGTTCTAGTCCCAGTTGCTCCTCTTCCAGTCCAGCTCTCTGCTGTGGCCCAGGAAGGCAGTGGAGGATGGTCCAGGTGCTTGGGTCCCTGCACCCACATGGGAGACCAGGAAGAAGCACCTTGCTCCTGGCTTCAGATCAGCACAGCGCCGGCTGTAGTGGCCATTTTGGGGGTGAACCAATGGAAGGAAGACCTTTCTCTCTGTCTCTCTCACTGTTTAACTCTATCTATCAAATGAATAAAAATAAATAAATTTTTAAAAAGTGGAACCTACAGGCCAATATAAAGAATGAGAAACATTCAGAAAATGAAGGTATTTAAAAAACATATTTAACAACTTAATATTGCCATAGCATTTTAAATATGTTTTACAAAAGTCATCAATCAGCCTACAACGGACTGGAAAAAGTTTGTAAGTTTAAACACAGATTTTTTTTTTAAAGAAACAATGTAGATTGGGGCCAGTGCTGTAGCACAGCAGGTTAAAGTACCAGCCTGCAGCACCCACATTCCATATGGTTTGAGTCCTGGCTGCTCTACTTATAATCCCACTCCCTGCTGACACACCTGGGAAAGCAGTGAAGGATGGCCCAACTGCTTGGGCCCCTGCACACATTGGGGACCTGGAAGAAGCTCCTAGCTCCTGGCTTCAGATTTGCTCAACTCTGGCCGTTGCAGCCACTTGGGGAGTCAACCAGCAGATGGAAGATCTCTCTGTAACTCTTTCAAATAAATAAAATAAATCTTAAAAAAAAAAAAAAAAAAAGAATGTAGGCAAAAATCACTTTACCAACTACTTTTATTGTATTTAGAGCAAGAGGTTTAAAACAAACACAGTAGTCTAAACAAAAACAGTAGTCTAGGAATTTGTTGAAATTCTCTACCTATTGACATATCTATCTTCCTCCCACAGGCATTTTCACAGGCTCTTAGCCCTATCATGACCAGTGCCAACTGCTAATAAGAATACAGAAAGGAGACTGGCATTGTGGCACAGTGGGTCAAACCACCTGTGATACCAGCAGCCCTCTGCCTTTGACCCAGCTCCCTGCTAATGGTAAGGCAGCAGAGGATGGCTCAAGTACTTGGACCCCTGCTACCCAGGTGGAAGACCCTAAGGGAGTTTCAGGCTCCTGGTTTCCGCCCGGCCTAGGCCCAGCCATTATGACCATTTGGGAAGTGAACCAGCATATGGAAGATCTCTCTCTCTCTCTCTCTCTCTGTCACTCCACCTTTCAAATAATAATAATAATAAAGTCTTTTTAAAAACTACAGATATCATTCTCTCTTTTGGAGCTGAAATAGACCCTCATGGCTTTTATAAGGAAAGCTGAGAAGCCAGGGAGGGTAGTCACGCTGACATCTGACTTCTGCTTTAACGCTGCTCCCACCATGCTGGATACCTGAAGCAGTCCCCAGGCTTCCAGCTTCTCCAGCCTCCAAATAATGCCTCTTCTCTCTCTTACCAAGTGCCTGAAAAAGTGCCTTTGGGCTGAGTTAAGGCTTCTTTCACGGCTGAATAACATAATTTATCATGTTAAAATGCCTTCCAACTCATCTGTTTCTTTAAAAAACATTTTGTGACCATTGAACAAAGTGTTTTTGTTGACAAGTACACAGTTTTATTTCTATAAAAATTCCAAGGTTTAAAAAATGTGCTAATAGAGGGCCGGCGCCGCGGCTCACTAGGCTAATCCTCCGCCTAGCGCCGCCGGCACACCGGGTTCTAGTCCCGGTTGGGGCGCCGGATTCTGTCCCGGTTGCCCCTCTTCCAGGCCAGCTCTCTGCTGTGGCCAGGGAGTGCAGTGGAGGATGGCCCAGGTGCTTGGGCCCTGCACCCCATGGGAGACCAGGAAAAGCACCTGGCTCCTGGCTCCTGCCATCGGATCAGCGCGGTGCGCCGGCCACAGTGCGCTGGCCGCGGCGGCCATTGGAGGGTGAACCAACGGCAAAAGGAAGACCTTTCTCTCTGTCTCTCTCTCTCACTGTCCACTCTGCCTGTCAAAAAAAAAAAAAAAAAATGTGCTAATAGAATTTATGATCTGTAAGTTCCCTTTCGCCTAAGAAATATTAAGAAATCTAATTTTTTAAAAGTATAAGTACCAGAATTATTGCTTAAGTCTCATTTGTTTTCCAGTGAAGAATTTCCAACTTAAAATCCAATATTCTGAATCCTGACATCATGTGTGTAGACACTGTGATTAATACTCAGGGATGACATTCATTCATGCAACTTACAGTTTATTTCATAATTAATAAAATTCAACACATAGGTCACTAAGAAAAACATTAAAGAAAAATAGAACTATTTCAATATTCTTACCTTGGACTCTGTCAACATACTGGTCAACATTTTTGTTCCCCTTCCAATTCCAACCACTACAAATCAAAGAAAGAAAGATTATGACATTCTATTCTGAAAACTAGAGTGGGTATTTAGCCACATCCCACATTGGAGTGTCTTAGTTCAGTGGCCCCAGCTCCTGACCCCAGCTTCCTACCAATGCAGACCCTAGATGAAAGGAATGATGGCTCAAGTAACTGGGTTCCTGTCACCCAGGTAGGAGACATGGATTGAGCTGCCAACTCCTGGCTCTGACCCCAGTCCTGCCCAAGCTGTGCAGGCATCTGGAGAGTGAACCAGCAGAAGGGAGCATTCATTCTCTCCCTGTCCTCAGCTCCCTCTTGAATAAAAATGAAATAAAATATTTACATATTTTGGTCATCCTTTCCTGGCCCCTATAATGTGAAGTTAGAAAAAGCATGTATTTACTATAACTTCAGGAAATCCTATTACTCTAATCAATTGAACTTCACAAAAAACTAAGAAATCTGGAAGAAATTCTCAAAGTATGAAACACAATAAAAATCTCACACCAGTCAATTAGATAATAAAGTTTTAGAACAATCTCAAAAGACTCACTGGAATTTTATATGGGCATCAGTGAAAAATACATGGTACAATTAACAATGTTCAAGTGGTATGATGAAGTCTTGACAGAATTCATTACTAAGCAAAGCAAAAGCCATCATCATAGCTAATGAACCATTTAAAGATGATTAGTGCTCCGCAGAATACAATTAAGAAAAGAGAAACAGAACAAATCAACCTAACACAAAGAAGAACACAGGGTAAAATGAGGGCCTGGAGAATTTATTTTAACTTGGGCCAAATATAAGCACAATAATGGCCCCCTTTCTCTTCAGTTTCAACTATTATTTATCCTTAAAACAACACATTTCCCCCAGGTGAGGCTGAGAGGATTTCTTCAATTAAGAGCTGACAAATTTTTATAAGAATTGAAGCATTTATCATCATCACATACAGTGGTGTATAAGATCACAATGTAACAACCACAATTCAGAATTATAGGAGGAGACTAGAAGAAATAACTGGAAAATGAAAAATTAACAATAATATATGACATAGCAGATATTCAGTGAGCTTAACATGTATGAGATTCTAATCAAAATGCTTTCCATTCTTTATCTCATTTAATCCTTCTAACAATCCCAAAAGGTAATTACTCAAAAAGTAATCCCAATTTTATAGATGAGGAAACGCAGGCACACAGAAGTTCAGAATTTTTCCCAGCATCTCCCAACTACTAGTACATGACAGAGTTAAAATTCAAATTAAATTGTGTAGCATCAGACTCCTTTCCTTTTCATTCTCCCTGCCACCTTACTCATGGAGGCTCTCTTCCCATGGCCACCAGCCCAAGTCACTGCAAAACTGACCGTTCTACATCTCATCTCTTCCTCTTCTAATTCATAACATTCTTTTTAAATATTCATTTATTTCTTTGAAAGGCAGATTACGGAGAGAGAGGGAGAGACAGAGAGGAATCTTCCATCTGCTGGTTCACTTCCCAGATGGCTGCAATGGCCAGGGCTGGGTCAAGCCAGAAACCTGGAACTCCAAGTATGGCCATCTTCTGCTGCCTTCCCAGGTGCACTAACTAGCAGGGAGCTGGATAGGAAGTGGAGCAGTCAGGACTCAAACTGGCACTCATGGGATGCATGTGAAGCAGATGGCAACGAAGCAGGTGGCAGCTTAACCCACTGTACCACAATGCCAGCCCCTGATTCATACCATTTCTTGAGACCCCATTTTGCAGACTAGAATGCCCCCCAACAAATCTTAGTAGGAGCCAAAAGCTTCCAATAGTACCAACTCCTTAGTATTCAAAATTCATCTTTCAAAGTCTAGCTTAAGTCTCCTCTCATTCATTAAGTCTCCTCCCAACCACCTCTAACTTCTATGACACACACTCCCACTGCTCCTTTTTCTCTCAGTATTCAGACCAGTTGAATGACAAAGATCAAAACTGTCTGCCTCAGTATCCTCTAAAGGGCACAAGACTCTTCAGATGACAAGACCTATTGATACTGATCAGACAAAAACCTTGAATGATAATAAAGATTCAATGGAATTTGGCTCCATTCAACTGAATCCCCAATCAGTATTTTTTGAACAGCCACCATGCACACAGTCCCAAGAGGAATACTTCTTGCAAAAAAAAAAAAGAAAGAAAGAAAGAAAGAAAACCAACTTTATTTTTTTTTTTCAAAGAGCAATATTTCTACTAGGACCACAAAGAAATCTGAAAGACATTTCCTTATTTTGAAAGAGCTTATAGGCTCGGTGGGAAAATCAAATATAGAAAATCACGATGCTCAAAATTGCTGCCTGAGTTAATGAGTGACTAATGCCAAACAACACGATGCTAGTGTATGATCAAACGTCAAAATGAAGAGAAGTGGAGGGCACTGTAGGGAGGCCAAAGAATGCATCATTCAAGCATTTCCACCAGTCCCAGGTAGGTCTTGAAGGATGTATGGAACGTGAACACAGAATGGAAGCATGTTCTAAAGAAGGAAGAAACTGCACGAATTCTCAGATATAAGGATGAGCACAAGGGGTTTCCAACCAACGTTTAGGGTGTCTTAAAAGCAGATGACAAGCTTGACTGTATCATGGTAGATAAGCTGAACTGATGATGGCTCCTAAGCTAGCGAACTGATCCAGAATGATAAAATTTAAAAGATCATATCATACCCAGGGTGACTCTCTCATTTTATATCTAAGAAAAATCAAGGCCCACTGAAATTAACAGTGCAGGCAGAATTTTGGAAGAGTAATTCAGCAGTGATATGCAGAAAAATTATCTGCATTTGGGACCCAGTCAACCACAGCTTTTCAATTGAGGATATGAATACAAATTCCAGGGACAGTGTCATGAACAGAATTTTTACTTAGCTTTTTTCTCCAAAACACTCAAAATTTTATTATTTATTGTGTAAGTACTTACTGTACTTAATCTACCTGAATGTTAACAAAAACTACAGAGAATGAAGGAAGTTTTACATTAGGAGCATAAAAGAGCAAGTGTACAGGCTTCATTGCGGGAGACAGAATTTCACCTGAACCCACAAAGGTCAGCAAAATTTCTACAACTAAAGGTGACAACAGAGATGAGCAGCTTAGATGAAGAAAAAAAAAAACAAAAAACAAAAAACAAAAAAGTGGGAGAAAAACGCGTGTTCTGGTAAAGTGTGGACGACTTACAGAACAGAGTCTTCTAGGCACTATGTCATGATTACTAACTTTTTGCTAGCTCCCAAATTTCCTGTGCTCGCTCAATTGTCTTCTGTGTAAAAAATCTGGTATCTCCAAAACCTATCCAGTGTTCTACTATTCCATTCTCAAATCAGAAAGACAGAATTTGCTTATGAGAAGAGCTACTTCAAGAGAAGCAAGAGTACTATATACTTTTATTGCCAAACTTTTCTACAGTTGGAGTTCCTACTGCCATTATTACGGTTCTAACATGCTTTTGATCATCTTAGAAGATTTGTAGGTTTACAATTCTAGGAATCTATTTTAATCCAAGACAATGTTCTATTCATAAAGGTGTTCTTCACAAAATCAGTTCTAACAAAATTCTAGTTATAACATCAATGGTCTCAAATACAGAAATAAATGAATTGTTCTTTACCTACACTGACAGCATACTATTAAGTTGTTAAAAATGCTAACAGTATGAAATCTTTACTTAATGTATGCTAAACTGATCTTCTGTATATAAAGAGAATAGAAAATGAATCTTGATGTGAATGGAAGGGGAGAGGGAGTGGATAAGGAGAGGGTTGCGGGTTGGAGGGACGTTATGGGGGGAAGCCATTGTAATCCATATTCTGTACTTTGGATATTTATTCATTAAATAAATTTATTCATTAAATAAAAGTTAAAAAAATGCTAACAGTAGTTTGTAACTAACAAAAAATGCTTATAAGGCTTAAAGGACATATAAGTACACACAGTAGAGATCAACATTTTTTTTTAGAGATGAGTGCCAGCATCTCATATGGGCACCGGTTCGAGTCCCAGCTGTTCCACTTCCAGTCCAGCTCTCTGCTATGAGCTGGGAAAGCAGTAGGAGATGGCCCAAGTTTTGGGCCCCTGCACCCACGTGGGAGACACGGAGGAAGCTCCTGGCTCCTGGCTTCGGATCAGCGCAGCTTTGGCGCAGCTCTGGCCATTGTGGCCAGTTGGGGAGTGAACCAGCAGATGGAAGACCTCTCTATTTCTCTGCCTCTCCTTTTCTCTGTGTAACTCTAACTTTCAAACAAATAAATAAATCTTTAAAAAAATTGTATAGACAAAAAGCTAGAAGAGAACATAGCAAAATGTTAGCAGTGATTATTGCTAGAGGATGGAAAATGAGTAAGTCTTTTTACTTTTCAACCTTTTTGGGTGTTTTTTTAAATTTGTCCACTACTTTTTTAAGTTCTTTAGAACTTTAAAAACAATTTTAAAGTAGCATAGAGAAATTTAGTTTCCATTTTAAGTGATTCATGATGAATGGGTATACAAAGGGACTTCAAAAAAGTATGTGGGAAATTAAGATAATCTGGGGGCCAGAATTGTGGAGTGCTGGGTTAAGCCACTGGCTGCAACACCAGCATTCCATACAGGCACTGGTTCCTGTCCCAGCTGATTCACTTCCGAACCAGCTCCCTGTTAATGGCCTGGGAAAAGCAGCTGAGGATGGCCCAAGTGTTGGCCCCAGGCCATTCACATGGGAGACCCAGATGAAGCTCCTGGCTCCAGGCTTCAGCCCAGCTCAGCCCTGGCCATTGCAGCCACCTGAGGAGTGAACCAGAGGATGGAAGATCAATCTCTCTTTGTCTCTCCTTCTCTCAATGTAGCTCTGATTTTCAAATAAATAAATAAACCTCGGTGGTGTCCAGTGTGGGTGGGTGGTGGTCGGCAGGTGGGCATGGAGGAGACTCGTGCCACTAAGTTGTGGGCAGCCTTTTCTGGGAATTGTAAATAGGGGCTTGAGGCTGGGGAAGATTTGGTGGAGACAAACGGTCACTCGCTGTTGTCACCTGCAAAGCCCTGTGCAGAGGCCCTTTGGGACTAGTGGTCATTTAAGTCCTGTTTAGGTGTGCGGGGCTGATCTGACTGGCGCTCAGAGTGACTGCTCCCCTCCCTGTGACTGCTTTGACAGGGTTTACTCTGCAGGAGCAGTCCGGACAACAACCTGGATGTGGACATTTTAGCACAACTGAAATATGCTGGGTGTGTCATTAAGGAGACCCTTCGAGTGAACCCTCCTAGAACTGGAGGGTGGCTCTAAAGACCTTTGAACTCAACGTTATGTTAAGGATTCTCTCTTTGCCCCTCCTCCTCTCTTGCTGAGGCTTAAAAACCTGCCTCTGCTTCCCTGCTACTCACCGGTAGGTGTCTGGCACAGCGGTTGAGACTCCACACGGGATGCCTACATCCTATATTGGAGTTCATAAGTTTGAGTCCCGGGTCTGCTTCTGATTCTAGACTCCTGCTAATGCACGAACCCTGAGTGTTAACAGGTAATGGTGCAAGCACCTGGGTCCCTGCCACCCACATGGAGAGACAGATCGAGTTCTAAGCTCCTGACTTCACTCCCCAAATGTATGCAGCGCCAAGCACAGGGAAACCAGCACAGGGAAGGGTGACTCTCTCTTTAAATAAATAAAAATAAATAAATAAAAGTAATTTCTCATAAATTCACAAAACTGCTTTTTTTTTTTTTTTTTTTTTGACAGGGAGTGGACAGTGAGAGATAGAGAGAAAAGTCTTCCTTTTCTGTTGGTTCACCCCTCAATGGCCACTGCAACTGGCACACCACGATGATCCAAAGCCAGGAGCCAGGTGCTTCTCCTGGTCTCCCATGCGGGTGCAGGGCCCAAGCACTTGGGCCATCCTCCACTGCACTCCCTGGCCACAGCAGAGACTGGACTGGAAGGGGGGCAACCGGGACAGAATCCGGTGCCCCGACTGGGACTAGAACCAGGTGTGCCGGCGCCGCAGGCGGAGGATTAGCCTAGTGAGCCGCGGCGCCAGTCCTCAAAACTGCCACTTAACACAATAAATATCTCTTATTCTGTGACTAAATACATACAATTTTTAAAATTTTTATTTTTCATTAGAAACCATAAGTATTAGACAAAGAATTAATAAATTTGACACATAAACATACTATATCATCATAGAAGTGTCACCAAATATAAATTAAGCCCTCAAATGGAGGCCACAGTCAAAACACAGATGCACTAAAAATATTGTACAAAATTACCTTCAGGCCATGTGTGTAAGGTGTAAATGAAACATAAATGAATATCATGTTTAGACTTGGGTCTCCTCCCCAAGGTGTCTCATCACATATACACAAATATTTTAAAGTCTGAAAAAAATCAAAAGTGCTTCTAGTACCAAGCATGTCATATAAGAGATATTCAAACCATAATAATACTTACCTTAAAGGTTACACCAAGGATTAAAGCACAAACTTTATGAATGCCCTAAATCAAGGACCTCATACACAGTAAGTGTTCAATGAATACTTGCTATCATTGATTTTTTAGATGAGTCTGAAACTTTAAATTGTCAGAATTTGCCTATTCAAGTGTTCTAATTCAGGAAAGTGTATTTTCTACTGATTTTTGCTACACCGCAATTAACAATATTTTTGCCAACATGAACTAAAATCTATAGTCTAATTTTCTTGGAAAAAAATCATTTCCTTCATCAATTTTATCCTTTTCTTTTAAATAAACATGCATTTCCATTTGATAGCTCTGATAAGGTTTTGGTTTGTTTTTATCTAATTTTAGCTCTAATAAAATGGACTGGATAGGGGCTGGCGCTGTGGCACAGCGGGTTAATGCCCTGGCCTGAAGCGCTGGCATCCCATATGGGCATCGGTTCTAGTCCCAGCTGCTCCTCTTCTGATCCAGCTCTCTGCTGTGGCCTGGGAAAGCAGTGGACGATGGCCCAAGTCCTTGGGCCCCTGCACCTATGTAGGGGACCCAGAAGAAGCTCCTGGCTCCTGGCTTTGGATCGGCTCAGCTCCAGCAGTTGTGGCAAACTGGGGAGTGAACCAGTGGATGGAAGAACTCTCTCTCTCTGTCTCTCCTCTCTCTGTAACTCTTTCAAATAAATAAATAAATCTTAAAAAAAATGGATTGGATATTATAGCACAGTATTCTAGAAAATGTAAGTCAAAACACATTAGTGTATCATGAAATCAACTTAATGGGTTCCAGATCAACATTTGTATCTTTTTTGTTGTTGTTAAATTTTTATTTATGTGGGAGAGAAAGAGACAGATTGCTCCTATCCATTGGTTCACTCCCCAAATGCATACAAACTGAGTTGAAGCTGAAAGCCAGAAATGCCATCCAGGTCTCCCGCATGAGTGGCAGGAACTCAACTGCTTGAGCCACCACTACTGGAGACAACCATTGTAAATGTGCTTCTGCTTTTCTCACTGTTGGAGAGAGGAGCATAATCAAGTGTCCCAGCCTCACAGGAGGGACAGAATGAGGAAGCAGGTTCATGGTTTCTCTGATGTCTCTTCCCTTGATGATCCAGCTGTGTATTCGTGCTATAGGACTGTCGTCAAGCTTAGCCACAAGTGTCTGCCTTAGCAGGAAGCTGAAGTCACTGGAGCCGGAGCCAGGAATCAGACCCAGGCACTCTGATGTGGGCATCTTAACCACTGGGCTCAATGCCAACCTCCAGATCAATATTTTCAAAAAATGAAATTATGTGAAATACAGAATAGCAGAGCACATGAAAGGGTAAGTAATGGTCCATAAAAGTCTGTTTCTAGCATGTGGGGAAGGAGGCAAAGGTAGTGGTGACGGGAGATAATGCCAATGTATGTATTTCTGTGACTATGGATTCAGCTACAGAAAAAGCTTCGAAAATATATCCTAGCATGTGGCGACACACTCTAGCCATCCATAAACAGAAACTTCTGAGCCTCTACCAGATGTGAAACAGAGAATAAATGATTTTTCTCCCCTCAGTCAACTGTACCAATTTTTCCTCCATAGGCATTGAGTGGCCCACTAATACATCTCTAGGAGAAAAGACTTCCTGTCAAGCACTATACGGTCGGGGCTGATGTTATGGCATAGCCAGTTAAGCTGCTGCCTGTGATGCCAGCTTCCCTTATGGGTGCAGTGCAAGTTCCAGCTGCTCCACTTCCAATCCAGCTCCTGCTAATGCGCTTGGGAAGGCAGTGGATGATGGCCCAAGTCCTTGGCCCCCTGCCACCCACATGGGAGACCCAGATGGAATTCCAGGCTCCAGGCTTCAGCCTGGCCCAGCCCCAGCTGACCATTTTGGGGAGTGAGCCAGCAGATGGAGGATATCTCTGTCTCTCTGAAACTATGCCTTTCAAATAAATAAATAAATCTTAAAAAAAAAAAAAAAAAAAAGAATGAACTATATGGTTCACTTTCTCAAGACAGCTGGACTCAGAAATGAGTTTAGACCGATGCAGAACAGATGCAAGCAATCCCCAAGATCAGTCCTTGTTCAAAGAATCACATGTGGCTAAGCTTGACGACAGTCCTATAGCACGAATACACAGCTGGATCATCAAGGGAAGAGACATCAGAGAAACCATGAACCTGCTTCCTCATTCTGTCCCTCCTGTGAGGCTGGGACACTTGAATATGCTCCTCTCTCCAACAGTGAGAAAAGCAGAAGCACATTTACAATGGTTGTCTCCAGGAAGCTCATCTAAAACTCAGTGTTCAGGTTTTTAATTGGTGGGTTGAAGGAATGGTCACCCTGGTACCTTCTGCCTGGTGTAATACAACAAAATTCCAGGTTCCTAGAAGAAAAGCAGGTGTTCACACAGCCAAGACACAGCAAACAATCCTCATCAGAAGGAAAAGGTGGGAGCACTCCCCAAGTTCCCAGAGGCTAGCCGAGGGGTAGGTCTTTCTAAAGACAGCAATTTCAGGCATGCTCTGTTAACTTCAGGGCTTCTTTAAAAGATGACATCTCTTAAAAATCCAGCCAATCTGAAACATTCCAAAGTAAACTGATAGTAACGCCTTAATCATGGCTCTCAACCGACACTTTATTTCTGATATTAAATGAGTTATATTAAACTTCTTGTTCTGCTTCTTACCTAGTACTCCTCCGGCTGCACTGTCTAGAGTCCCTCCGTGCCCAATCTTCAAAGTCTGTTTTTTCCTTTTGGTCCATTCTTTATGAGGCATTCCAGCTTCTATGAGAGTAGTTGGGATGAAAAAAGATAATTACTAAAGTAAAAGAAGTAGGCTCTCCATAAATACGGGGGGCAGGGAAGAGGTGCAATTGTATTCAAAACAAAAAGTGTTATACAAACTTGATGTATTAGGAATATTAGGAATATGACCACATTACCAGCAAGGAACAGATTTCAAAATGTACAAATACTCCCTAAATTACAAAGAAATGGTATTCCAAAATTAATAATCTTGAAACTAAAATTTACTTCCTAAAGAAAAATTCATTTTTAAAAATGTCTGTAAATACATAAGCTAACCTGGGGTCAGCATTGTAGCACCGCGGGTAAAGCTGCCACTTCTGACACCTGCATCCCATATGGGAACTGGCTGCTCTGTTTCCAATTCTGCTCCCCTGCTAATGGCCTGGGAAAAGCAGTGAAAGATGGCCCAAGTGCTTGGGCTTCTGCACCCATGTGGGAGCCCCAGAAGAAGCTCCTGGCTCCACTGCAGCCACTTGGGGAGTGAATCAGGGGATGAAAGATCTCTGTCTCTGCCTCTTTCTGTAACTCTTTCAAATAGAGAGAGAAATGCTAACCTGCAAAACAAACAAACAAACAAACAAAATCAGTAAATCCCTGATAGGAGTGGGCTGTCAGAAGTTAAGTTTGATAGGGACAGCTAGCTTCAAAAGTCTTCACTTTCCACCTCTAAGTCGTTTCCATTCCATGGTGTTCTAACGAGACTGCCACAGCCACCTCCATGCACATTCATGCAGGGCTACATCTAGGTACGCTGTGTTCCCCAACTACCTGGACTCATTGTCCCATTTCCTAATCAAAACTCAGTTCATTCAAGAAGATAAGCCCAACAAAAGGTTATATGGGAAGTAGATGGCATTTTGAAACATTTAGATTTCTAAAAAAGAGGACGCCAAACCTGGCTTATCTCATATTACTACTGTAAAGATAAAAATGAAATAATGTTATCTGAAAATGCAATGGGAACTACAAACACAGTGAGGTCAACAAGACCATGACTACACACAACAAGGGACTGGGAACACTGGCTACTAGACTTTGAATGATGAAGGAGAAAGGAGCAGGAACAGCTGGACTGATCAAGATCCCCAATCCCATCAAATCTTATCAGCACTGGCACTGAGAAGATAGAAAACAGGGTGAAAGGACATGAAAAGGAGGACGGGGGAAGCAAAGCAACAGAAGTAAAGAAGTCAGATTAAATGGCCAACAGGATGGCTGGGCTGCTGAGCCTACAGTGTAACTGTCAGAAGCGTGGTAACTGAAACAGTCCTGGTGTCACTCTGACCATGACATCATCCTGCTCGGGAAGGCATGACTGTCTGCTTTGACGGAAACCTCTAAGACCAGGCCCAGACTTCCCATGCTTCCCCTTCCACTGTAACCCACTGGGGATCCTCACCCATGAGTTTATAGAAACCTTCTGGGGAACTCTGTATCTGCAACTTGACGAGGCTTTATACATTCCCTGTCTTCCTTGTGCCCAATTTTATCTCTAACTTGCACACATATACCACTACAATATCAGAATTTGGTTTACTCCACTGAACCAAGTATTCATGGATGAATGATCATTAATTCAGGCCCTGAAGGATTGAGAGAAGGTGGGGATTGTAGTACAACAGGAATCAAATTTAAGGAAAGGCAAGGAAAGTTACTGGAGGCCACAACCACTGGCTATGGCCTAAATATGTGGTTGTCAAATCTGGCTCCATCAGACTGTGGCTATCTTTTAAGAACCTGTCCAGGGAATTCTATGTAGCGAGAATGGCATTTGGAAAGCCCCAGCCCAGCTAACACAAATATAGAATAGATCAATCACAAGCAATAAGAAATACAGAATAATGAGAATGTCTACATCTGAATGAGTAGCTTCCAGAAAATGGCATAGCAACAGCCTTGAAACAATCAGTTTTGACCTAGTTTCAACAAGAAATTTTAAGTAAAAGGCCAGGTTATGGCTTTGATTCTGCCAGAAACTTGTCTGAGAGAATAGTAATCATTACCCTGAGGATCAAAAGCGCTGTAGTTCAGCTAACAAATTGGGCCAATGAAAGCAGCAATTCTTTAAAGGGGAAAAACGACGACAGCACCACAATGCTCACCCTTGAAGTACTTCCTGGCTTCAACACCATGCTTTATGAATCATGCTTACAGGCAATAGAGTATAAGGAAAGCTTAACAAAAGAATGAGTAGGAATCACAGGGAAATTAAACACCCCTAAGAGTATATCTACACATTTAAACCTGTATTGTGCCAGTTATAATAAACAAATTCCTATCAGAATAATTTGCTCTTGCATTTTAAAAACATGTAGTTTGACAGCCATCCTGTAAAAGTTTGGGGCCGGTGCTGTGGCATAGCAGGTAAAGTCACCACCTGCAGTGCCAGCATCCCATATGGGCACCGGATTGAGTCCCAACTGCTCCACTTCCAATCCAGCTCTCGGCTATGGCCTGGGAAAGCAGCAGAAAATGGCCCACTTGGGCAACTGCACCCACGTGGGAGACCTGGAAGAAGCTCCTGGCTCCTGGCTTCAGAGTGGCCCAGCTCTGGTCATTGCAGCCATTTGGGGAGTGAACCAGCAGATGGAGGACCGACCTCTCTCTCTCTCTCTCTCTCTCTCTCTCCCTCCCTCTCTCTCTCTCCCTCTCCTCTCTCTCTGTAACTCTGCCTTTTAAATAAATAAATAAATCTTAAAAAAAATTGTAAAAGTTCTTGTACTGATTTAATGGCAAGACAGGCTAGGGCCAAATTCCAGAGGACCTTAACCCAGCTCGTTCTATCACCAAAGGCTGGAGAAATTACTAGGCTATGAGCTCAGTTAAAGGAAGAGACCACATCTTTCACCTTCCTGTTTCTACAGGACACTGTAGCTCTGGCTGAGTGTAGGCGTCCAATAAACCTGATTCTTTGAAGCCACTCTCTGAGATGAACTCTGGCCTGATGAACTGTGTGATCCTTCGGGTTTTCCTAATACTTCTCCGGTGTATATGAATAAACAAACGCAAAAAGAACACTCTGAGAAAAGTGACCAAGTTCTATTTAGTGGTCCTCAAAAACGTGGCACAGACGTACGCCAGAATCTCTTGCGTAAAAACGAATTTCCTAAAAATAACCTAGATCCTCATAACCACAATTTCTAGGACAGGGATTAGCATCTGCAACTTTAGGAAATGTTTATGCTTACTAAAATGTGGAAACCAGTGCAGTAAGTCTTGGCCAAGATGCAGTTTTGGGGGTACAGAGCCAGTGCTTCCTTTGGCTGGGCCTCATCCACAGGAACCAACAAAAGCCTCTTGAGAGATCGGAACATAAAAGTCGGTCCGCACGTCCAATGGCAGAGGCTTATGGGTTATACTTGGGGATTGCTCAGTTTTCTTTCCCCCCTTAAGAACGACTGCCCACCAGGCTACAGGAGATCACAGCTGGGCAAGGCCAGGCCCCAGATGCCTCACACTTCGGTCCAGAGTTCAATCAGTTGCCATTCTCCCTTTCTTTTATCTCTTTATCCACGGGCGTCGCAAAAAGCCCGGTGTGCTTCCCCTCTCGCGGCGACCGCCTCAGCCCGGGCCCCACCCGGGCTGCAGTACCTGCCAACAGCTTCTGCTTCAACCGATTCAGCAGCTCGGCTGAAGTGGGCCCTTTGGGCTTGCGCACGGCGAACACGCCGCTCAGGGACAGCAGCTTGGTAGCCAAAGCGGCCTTGGAGGCCGTGGCTTCGGTTCCGGTCCTGGCCGCTGCCGCAACTATCGCGGCAGCAGCCGTCGCTGGCGAGGTTGTGGCCGTGCCTGCTGCTGTTTCTGCCGTTTCAGGCACTGGGGCTCTTTCCACAGCCGGCCCGATCTCTACCTCGGTAGCTGCCATGCTTTTCTAACCCAGGCGGGCTTTTTATCCTGGAGGCGCATGCGGATGACGCACCAAAGCGCGCCCGACACCCTTCTCTTTCCCAGACTTCGAAGCTGGGAAGGCAGGAGGGGAATCGCAAGGGCTTGTGGGAAGTGTAGTCCACGGCTTTCGTTACTGGCCTCTGCGGGCTTGATGAAGTCATTTCTTTCCACTGCTTCTGTCCTCTTCGTGGGGTTAGTTACGCAGGGGTAATTCGGAGCTGCAGTCCCGAGCTGCTTACCCAAACGCCAAAGCAGTGTTTCAAGCAAGGACTCTCACTTCCTGCTGCCACCCCGCCTCCAGAACTAAGAGAACCCAACATCCAAGAATAGCAGACTTGAAATTCGGCCTTTGCTCGCGGCGTCCTCGCCTCAGCGCGTCATTCGTTGGGTTGTGTTCTTGGAATCACCGCTCAGAATTAAAATACACCTCACAATGTAAACTGTATTGGCGCAAGGAAGCCACGGGCCCTGTGCCCTGAGTATCCCAAGTGCCTCATGTAGTCAGCGCTTACATAAATATTCGGGAATGAATAAATGAACACAAGATATTCATTTTCCCAAACTTCTAGGCCAAACCAATAGCACCTTACTTTGTCTTATTTTGATTACCCTTGGGCACCCCTATGCACCTCCAAGAGCCCTCTGCCCCACTGTGGTTTCTTCATAAGTCTAAGATTTTTAACAGTAACTGGGGTTGCATTCCTAAACAAACGTCAGTTAGATGTGAAAAGGTATTATTGCAATTCATAAATCACTTTCTATTAGAGACCTTCTCTTTAAAAGTTATTCACTCCGGAACTGGCACTGTGGCATAGCGGATAAGGCCGCCCTCCGCAGTGCGAACATCCCATATGGACACTGGTTCAAGACCCAGCTACTCCTCTTCCAATCCAGCTCTCTGCAATGGCCTGAGAAAGCAATAGAAGATGGCCCAAGTCCTTGGGCTCCTGCATCCGCATGGGAGACATGGAAGAAGTTCCTGACCCGTGGCTTCTGATCCGCTCAACTCTGGCCGTTGTGGCCAATTGGGGGGTAAACCAGCGGATGGAAGACCTCTCTCTCTCTCTCTTTCTCTCTGCCTCTCCTTCTCTCTGTGTGTCACTCTTTCAAATAAATAAATAAATCTTTTTTTTTTAAAGTTATTCACTCCCCCCCAACAAAATTCAGGAATATTGTTTTAGTTCTAGTACACAGTAGAGTGGAGGACAATTTCTCATGTCACATCTGCTCCAGACACAGTAAATGGTATTGTGAGCACTGTGTGAGAGTTTGTATTCACTGTTTTCCTACATCCACCCTTTCTTCTCATCATCCTCTTAGGCATTAATATCTAATATCTAATGATTCCTCCTAGGTACTCAGAATCACCCAATGGGGGACCCCATTTTAATGTGCTCCCATTCATGCAACAAATGCATGAAAAACAGTAGCTTAAATACAATACTCAGGGTGGGTGTTTGGTGACAGTGAAGACATCACTTGGACTATCCGCATCCCATTTGGACTGTCTGGGTTTAAGTCCTGGCTCTGCTCCTGGTTCCAGCTTCCTGCTGATGTGCATTCTGGGAGGCAGCAGGTAATCAATGGCTCAGTTACCTGGGTCCGTCCCTGCATGGAGACCCAGAAAGCTGGATTGAGTTTCTGGCTCCTGGCTTTGGTTTTGCCCAAGACTTGGTTCTTTGAGCATTTGGAGAGTGAGCTAGTGGTTGCAACCTCTTTCAAACAAATAAATAAGCAATAATAAATATAATATTTATTTCTGCCTATATTTTTATTAGGATCATTTGTTTCTTTGAAAGGCAGAGTTAGAGAGAGAGAGAGAAGGAGAGACACAGAGAGAGAGATATAGAGAGATCTTCCACTCACTGGTTCATTCCCCAAATAGTCTGGACTAGGCCAGGTCAAAGCTGGGAGCCAGGATCCAGGAGCTGCATGCAGGTCTCCCACATGGGTGGCAGGGGCCCAAGCACTTGGGCTATCATCTGCTACCTTCCCAGGTGCACCAGCAGGAAAATGGGTCTGAAGTGGATCAGCTGGGACACGAACCAGTGCCCATATGGGATGCCAGCACTGCAAGTGGCACCTTAACCTGCTGTGCCATGGCACTGGCCCCTCTGCCTATATTTTCACCCCTCCCGCATTTCAATTAGATCACTAGACTCTAATGAAACCTTGGGGTACAAACCAGTGTGAAATACTTAATGCCACAGAACTATACACTTAAAATTGTGAAAGCAGGGTTATTATTACATATATATATAATATATGTGTATGTTATTACACATATATATGTGTGTTGTTACTTATATGTTATCGATAGATAGATAGACAGACAGACAAATAGAGGGAGATCCTGGGAGACTGTCTGCCTAGCCCATACAGTTAGCTTGACTGCCGGCAGGCGGCAGGAGCCCCAGGCACATTTCCCTCGACCCCCGTCTTCTGCCAATCAGCTGATTGGAGAAGCATAGTGGCACCAATATCAGTTCTATCCTATAGAATTAATATTGCCCTGAATTAGTTACACCCCTTCTGCCTGCCCTTTAAAAGTGTGCGTGGTCATTAATAAAGCGGACACTCACTGAAACTTGTCTCCGGCGCTTCTTGTAGAACACCGTCACCCCACCATCCCAGCAATGTGCAAGCCTCACGGGTCGAGTCCGTGTATAAATACCACAATATTTGGAACTGTAAAAAGGGTCTGGGAAGTGATGAAACCTTTAGAAGGAAGGCACTGGGCTATTATAAAAGCCTAGGCTAACTGAAAAGATTATGCAGGAGAGTGTCTTGGAGGCCAGAAGAGAAGAGAATTATTGTGAGAATAAGGAGAGGGAAACTGAAATATTGGCATTAAGCCTGCTTCAAGATTTTCCCCTTTCCAAAAAAGTGGCAACACTTCAGAAGGGATGGCTGCACCCTAGGGTGTAAGGCATCCTTCAGCCTCATAAAAACATTTCTATTTTCTCCTCTTAGCACAGAACTGAGAGCCAGGGACTTTAAGGAAAGGTTGCAGGCTTGAACAACAGAGACTTGGAGAGTAGACTCTTTCCTGGTTGTGTAGAGAGCAGTAAGTTTCTCTAACTCCCTGTGACTCTAGGGTGGGAAAGGCCAAGGAAGGGCAGAGTCAAGAGTGACAAATAATGCTTACCTTCGGATTCTTCCCCAACCCAGTGGAAAATCAGAGATAACCTGATTTAAAGAAAACAACGAAATAGACAGTTATCACACACTTGGTTTCTGGGATGCTAGGACACAGCAAAAGCCATTCTACTCTGCTTCAAACCTGCATTCTTGGCATCAGAAATGCCAAGCTCTCATCTTCTGAGGCAACCAACATCTCCCACAGTGGGAAACTGCGAATTCACAGGTGAACTTACTCTTCACAAATGAGTCGGGTCTCTGGTTAGAAGCAACAGAAAACAGCTTGGGCAGGGGAGGGGAGGGAATAAAAGGATTTATCTGAGCTACTCATCAGAACCGAGGAAGTTCTCTCCATCTCTGTCTCCCCTTCTCTCTGTCTCTTTCTCTGGCTATACATCCTTCTTTTACCTTCTTCTCTCTTGCTTCTAACAGGCCTTTTCCCCCACTCCTTATTCCACACCCTCAATTTAAACCATCCTGTGTTGACCCAATTCTAAAAGTCCTCTGGTTGAAGTCACTCCTGACTATCTGTAAAACACAGCACCTTGCCCATTCTATCCCTACCACAGCACTTTCCTGCCTCACTTTCCTGCCTTATTTTTCTCTAGCACCTGTCTCATCTGGCAAACTACATATTCATTTTGCTTAATGTGTAAGTCTCTCTACCAGAACCTGAGCTGTGTGAGGACGGAGATGTTTTACTCATTGCGGTACCTCCAGATCCTAGAATGTGTCACATGCAGCCCCTGGTAAATTTTGTTGAATAAAAGCGTGAATGAACATGGTAGCTCCAGTAGAAGCCTCCATAAAAGGGCGTTAGTGCCAGTTCCTTTAAAGTGGAGTCCTGAACACACAAAATAATAGGTAGTATTTCAAAGGCAGCTTACCCACCTGCCTTCAAATGCCATGGTCCCATATATGTATATCTATGGACTATATGGTCTCATATGTGTGTGTGTGTGTGTTTGTGTATATATATAAATAATAGAGACAAAGAGAATACAGTCACCCAATGCTGTCTAATAAGATTCCAGCTTTCTAAACCAGTTTCCATGTTGTCCTCAACTACTGATGTCCCCCACGAGTTGGTAAGAAGGTTCAACTATCAGCTGGATTCTAAATCTGCCTCTGACTCTCTCAAGGCTGATTCTTGGGACACATCTGTGATCCCTAACTTCCGAAAATGTTGTCTACCTGTGTGGCTTCCTATTGATGGTGGAATCAAAAAGGAGTGCGTGATGCATATGAAAATCTATATGGATCTCAAAAAATTGTGCACCCAAATAAACTTCCCTTTTAATTCCATTTCCCAGAAACTCTTTGAAGAGTAGTTCAAATCCTTCCTTTTAAAAGCTGAGCCATAAAAACTGATAATAAGTAGGAGAAAGCTGAAGGAAGTCAAACCTAGATAGAAGAAATGGGAGGGGCCTGCACTGTGGCACAGAGGGTTAAACTGTCATCTGTGACACCGGCAACCCATACGGGTGCCAGTTCAAGTCCCAGTTGCTCTACTTCCGATCCAGCTCCCTGCCAATGCACCTGGGAAAGTAGCGGAAAATGGCCCAAGTGCTTAAGCCCCTGCACCCATGTGGGAGACCTGGATGAAGCAGCCTGGCCCAGCCCTGACCATTGCAGCCATTTGGGGAGTGAACCAGCAGATGGAAGACCTCTCTCTCTCTCTCTCTCTCTCTCAAGAGAGGAGACACAAGAAAGGTATTGTTTACAAAAGTTCAGAGAACAGATGGAAGCACCTTTCCATAATTTCCATCATGAAATTTGACATTTAGTCTATGCCACTGAAAATTATCCTAACAGAGAAGAAAATGGTTGGTTGCATGAGGAACTCTGCTGTGAGCTGAGAAGTCTAAAGGAAATAGATTGT